ATTAATTATTTTAAATAATACACAAAATTGTATCAAAAATATTTTTAAATTATTTTTTATAATTTTTTATATAAATTAATTAAAAAATAAATTTATTGCATCTTTAAATGTATAAGTCAAATAAATCTAATAAAAAATAGCAATACACTACCGTAAAAAGAAAAAAAAATGCATATTGACTTATGAAAGTGGCTATTGGCTAAGAAAAAGTGGAAAGGACAACTTAGGGTGTGGATGACACACCTTCCCTCGGAAAATCGGGATGAATATGGACGGTTGGACTGTGGATGCCACGTTCACTTCAATAATTTAAGGAGAAAAGTTGCTTTGGTCTGGCCTTTAGGTGCCTGCCTCTTCCAAGCAATTCATATATGCAAGTGTTCTTTTGCTTTGCACTTGTTCGATTGAGGTGCAAGAGACGTCAACAATCACCATTATTTGCTTAAAGCAAAAGAAGATGCTAACCTAGTTGGATTCAATCACACAACTCCACAAATATATTATACTAAACAGGGGTGATATCTAGTGATGAAAATGAAATCATGAATTGTTTATATAAAAATTGCTTTCACACCGTTCACCGATTTTATTTGCAAACATAGAGAAAAATTAAAGCAGTAAAAGGTTAAAAGAAAAAAATTAAGAGAAAGGTATCTTATTAATATAATTCTTTCTTTTTTTCAAAAGGCTCATATTGATATAATTTTGAGATACAAAAACTAAATACATAATGAATATTTATATTGATTTAAGTGACTCACACTAATGAAAAAATTTTATATAAATTTATAATAACATAATATTTTACCCAATATAAGAAAGAAAACCCATAAAAAAGAACACAACAATCAATGCTTTGTCACCCAAAAACACAAGTTAAAGATGTAATAAATATAATTTTTTGTTATAATTTTGTATTAAAAAACAAAAATTAAATTTTAATTTATCAATTCTCTAATTAAATCTATCTACTTAACACTAACACTAAAATTAATATCAACTTTTACATTTTTTTTATATGTATTTATGATTAAAAAAATACTCTTAACCTATGCCCTAAATATACAAGTTAAAAAACCTTACTAAATTCCAACTTTAAATCATTGTTTTAAAACCCAGCCTAACTTGGTCAGTTCAACCAGTTGAATTGAAATTAATTGTAAAAACAAGTGAGGTTATGATATTAGCCTGGTAGAAGTCAAACCCACCCAAACCTGCTCAAACCAAACAGAATTCAATTGACCTGAATTGCTTCAACTTGTTTTTTAAGCTTTTAACTTTTTTTCATTTTTTTAAGCCTTTATATTTATTTATTTAGTAGATAATATAGTAATTAAATTGTAAAATCTATTCAAAATCAAATCACAATTAAATTTCAAATTGGAAAGTGATTTTAATTTGGAATTTGTTGATATAAAAAGTCAAACTTGGATTTGAGTGGTCTCCACATCATCAAGACTCACCTCAATCTAAGTACCCATTGATGCCCTCAACATGCATTTGCTAAAAGACCCAACCGTATCTTGTACTACAATACATAGCTACATCACTAAACACATACAAGGAAGTCTCATTCCTTTATTATTTCTTTTCTTGTCAAATTTTATCATTTTCATCAACTAATCACTATATTTATGCGCAAGTCATCAATGGACCCATGAACCCAAGTTTATGGGGATTATTTAAGATAAACTATGAGAGTAGTGACCTGATAGGTATGGATGGATGAATGTTGCCCATCTAGCGAAGTATAATATTCATGTTAGCCAAGCTTAGATTAGTGATGCTACTTGTCTTCGTTAGGAAGGGATGGGTGGCAAATATGTATAAACAAAACTTGATTCCAAAACTATACTGTTTGATGCTAAGTAGAAGATTTGCAATCTCATTGAAAATCAATTGGATATGCCATTTGAGTCTCCATCACCAATCTACACAAGTATTTAATGTTTGGACAGCTGTACAAGTTTCCCATAGACTTACACAAGTTACACCACATTAGAAGTTGATAAAAAGATTACAATTTATCTAGAAAATATTCAAGATCTTGGACAAAGGGAGATTTGCCGACAATACTCAATTACGCCCTAAAATTGGTATTACATATGGATGTGAAATTACGAAGAATAGGATGGTTTCAATGGATCAGTAGTCCTTCGTTGGAAATGTTGGAGAAATCATAATTACACATCAACCTTGTCAAAAACAGCCCAGATCATTCCAAAACTTAACACTTTCTCACCCAACACATGTTTTATAGTTGGATTGCTGGGCTACTATAACTCCACAAATCCAAAATTACCAAAATGCCACTACCTATGTATATTTGATTTTTCTTTCTTTTGGGGGGGTGGATGATTCATTTTTCCACACATTCTTACCACATTTTTACACGCAAATACTCCCTAGAAACCTCTATTTTCTATATTTCTAACCACACAAATTACTTTCCAGACATACAATTCATTATGGCTGGAAGATTTCACATCACAACTTGAGGTTTTGAGTTATTTTTTTTAAGCATAAAAGGATTAATTAGCAGCAAAGTTAGAATCAACATACGAGATCAAGTACTCTATCAAAAACCCCCATGATGGTCATTCTTCCTTCTCCCATCATTACTTGCTAGTTTATTTCTTCTTGTATGCATAAATATGGAGAAGGAAATTATAATCCTTTGAACTCTAACTTGAAGTTTGTTTATTTTAGAGTTCATACATTTGTTGAAGATAGTAAAGGGCATATCTACTACATGTTTCTTCTACTCTACAACATATTGCATATAGATATGCTCATTTAATTGTACAAGTTGATCTTTACATTTTCTATCTAAATTGTTCTAGCTACAATGCAACTCGCCTATCTATCTTTTTTTGTGATTATGTAATCATGATCTGGGAAGCATTGTCACCACCTTGCTCTTCCAACTT